TGTAACATACATAAGAATGTCCTTACGTTCTGTCTCTCTGACTATACCTGGAGGTTTCTATGCCATAACGACAACATACACAGACCTTCATCACGACATTAGCAGGCAATCAATACTTAGAGTAGTGTCTCGCACAGCGATTTCCCCAAAGGCCAAGTAACAGAACGTCTTGAATGATGTACCTTGCGGGTCGAATGCGGTACATTAAGAGATGTAGGCAAATTCATTGTAACACGTGAGAGATAATCGATACTTATCAAATATCAGCGGAACATATTGAGGGGCTGAGAGCCTGTACCAGAAATATCCTTTTGTCAGATCAACCTCCGTGCACGGATTCCTGGGCCATCGATTGTCCGGAACAGCACGTGGCCAGTGCTGCAAGGATCGGCTTTTGATGTCTCAAGTGAAAACCGATAACCCAACAAGGCTTATTTCATTTAAAAACCTACAACATGTTCAATCGATAGTGTGATTTGGTACTTGAAGAGGTTTTTCTTTGTAGCCTTGTAGCCACAAGAATCACTTGACATATATACATAAGATTTAGATCTGTTTTCTGATGTTTGTAAGTCTGTCGCCCAGTAACCCAGCAGCTTGTACTGGTTGGTTGGTTAGTTTGTTGTTTAACGCCGCACTCAGCAATATTCCAGCTATATGACGGCGGTCTGTAAATAATCGAGTCTGGACCAGACAATCCAGTGATTAATATCATGAGCATCGATCCACGCAATTGGGATCGATGACATGTATCAACCAAGTCAGCGAGCCTGACCACCCGATCCCGTTAGTCGCCTTTTACGACAAGCATAGTCACCTTTTACGGCAAGCATGGGTTGCTGAAGACCTATTCTACCCCGGAATCTTCACGGGGAGCAGCTTGTACTGGAATGATGTTGACAATATGACGGCAGCGATTCTGGGATTTTAATCCAACCTCTTGGTATAATTTTTGTATCAGATCATATTTATATTAACATTTTGTAGACACGATTACGTAAAATTAGTTTTGACGGAGGTAGGTTAATGAAGGAATATTTTTAACGCCGCAGTTAGCAACTTCAGTCTGTGCCAAGCGGACCAGTGTCAGGTATCATAAATTAACCACCCTTATCAAACCTTTTCGTTATTGTCTGTTTGGTAACGCTGCAGATATATGATTTGTTTGTTTGTTGTTTAACGCCGCACTCAGAAATAGTCCAGCTATTTATGACGGCGGTCTGTAAATAATCGAGTCTGGACAAGACGATTCAGTGATTGATATCATGAGCATCGATCCATGCAATTGCGATACGATGACATGCATCAACCAAGTCAGCGAGCCTGGCCACCCTATCCCGTTTGTCGCCTCTTACGACAAGCATAGTCGCCTTTTACAGCAAGCATGGGTTACTGAAGACCTATTCTACCCCGGATCTTCACGGGTCCGCAGATATATGACGCCAGAAAGCTATGATCGAGGGTTCGAATCCCTATTCGCACCGATTATGTTTCTGGGTTTGTCAGCACCATGCCCGTGCTCGTGGGTTTCACCGAAGAAATAAACGTCCGAGACCGGCATCACTTCGGGCTTTCCTCCCACATTAAGCTGACCTGCCGTGATATAACTGGAACATTGCTCAAAGCAGCGTAAACTGCTCACTCACTCACTAATTTTAAACTAGTCTCACTAGTACCATGGACTTAGTCTTTGTACTTCACCAGTGAGTTTGAACCGTGAAGATCCGGCCGCGGGGTAGAATAGGTCTTCAGCAAAGAATTTACAGTAAAGTTAACTACGTTTATAACGAACGCGCTTATAACGAACTGACGGATACAACGAACTGACTTTTTTGTCCCGACTATCTGCTGTAGTTATGCTGCAGCTTATAACGTACCAAAATTAGTGGTCCCTTTGAGTTCGTTATAACCGTAGTTTACTGTTCTTTAACCTCCCTCGAGGATACAGCTATTACTCTCGGATATTCATTCATTCTACCAATTTTAAAAAGCCATTTATGATGGTGTGCTGGAAGTCGGAATTCCAACGGGCCGAAATGCTGTTACACATTGAATTTACACCAAGTACATCGCATCGAGGATTAAATCATTGGATAAAACGAAATCCAAATTGTGTTTATATATCGCCCGTCTACCTTATGATGGCATCAGCCCAAGACGGCTCCAGCGTGGGGCAGTGGCTACAGCGTTTGCCCGATGGTTCGAACCCAGGCCGCGTCGTACCAAAAGACTTTAAAAGCTGGTATTGGTTGTTGTCTTGCTTAGCGTTCATCTCACGAGGGGTAACAAAAGAATGATCCGCTCGAGTCACGTCGCTGCAGAAGTGCAATAATCTTAAACGCGACGTTAAACCCCATTTCCCATCACCTCACCCATTCAACCAAATCTCATTTATGAGAGAAAGAGGGAGGACATGGTGTTCTACGCCGTTCAACGTCACAGCAAGCAGCGGAAAGCTATCGAAACGTTTAACTATAAAGTGATTAAGTGGGGTTTTGCGTCGCTTTATATTACACTCAGTTATAACACGGAGAATCAGCGTAATGTGGGAGGACAGCCATATGTCCCGCAGGTCTTAGATATGTACCGATTGGATGAAACGCAATAACATGGGTATTGTGCTGACACACCAATGACCTAAATCTTGGTGAGTTTAGGATTCGAGCCCACGATCACTGTATTATTACACGCACAGCGGCGCTTTACACTCAGATGTTTTTGTCGCGGAATCCCTACGGAGTTTGAAGTGAGCGATTGAGTATGGTTTACGCCGCCAGAAATATCACGTCGGAGAACACCTGAAATGGGGTTCACACTTTGCATCCATGTGAAGAATAGAACAATAGAACGCTTTAACCACACGGCTGCCCCAGCGGGGCTTGGAGGACATCGAAAAGTGACTGAGGACAGTCCACTTTGATAAAACGCACGAGCATACACTTGGTGCCGACAAACCCAGTATCATAATACCTTAGGGAAAATCCGGGATTCAAACCAACGAACAAAGATATATTGCTGAATAGAGCAACAACTACATGTCAACAACAACATGTTTATATTAGATAAGTCAATTTATTAATGAAATATATCATATACTTCGTAAAACACGCCCCATTACGACAGTCGACCTCCATAGCAAAACCAATACTGCATAATAAATAGAAGCTATTGAGAAGAGTGAGTGAGTTGGGTTTAACGCCGCTTTTAACAGTATTCCAGTTATATCACGGCGTGTCAGCTTAATGTGGGAGGAAAGCCCCAAGTGATGCAGGTCTCAGACGTTTACCACTTCGGTGAAACCCACGAGCACGGGTATGGTGCTGACAAACCTAGAAACATAATCGGGGCGAACCGGGATTCGAACCCACAATCATAGGTTTCTGGCGTGCCCAAGGGACGCAACTCTGCACAGCGAATCGCGGCGCCTTAGACGGCTGGGCCACCCGTGCCCCCTCTATTGAGAAGAAACACCTCTTAAAGATATCTTGCCGATTCCAAAATCAACAAAAAAACAATGACTTCATTTTTCGACATAATGTTGCAAGGGTAGTGAAAGGTTCATATTTTATACATGCTACATGTGTTCACCGCAAGGGTCATAATTCGGGTGAAGTTACGCTGCGTTGACCTCGGAGAGTAGGTGGATGGGTGACGTGTTCGCCGGCGTGGCGCCGGGGAGGTTCTAGGACTTCTGTCCTGCCTCACACTGAATCACATGTAGCACATGTGGTGTCTCCTTGGGCAAGTGACTGTGTTCGAAATATGCTTCAGTCCAACCAGTAATGAATGGGTATCCGGTAAGATGGAAAGGTTATGTGACTGTTAACATCGCAACCACTCACAGGCAACTTGGGTGTGTATTCCCGACGGAGCTGAGAATGAAAAGAATATAGTGCCTACTGATCCATTGACCGGGGTAATAGGAACATAGCGCTGAGAGCATATTGTATAGATTCATGCAATTTACAAGACTATTAGTATGTGGAGAATTGAACCCGGATCTTCGATCACCTTCGACACTGGGCTACCATCACCCCTGTTTCTCAAGAACAATTAATAACATGAACCGTTACAATTCAAACGATATTACTGTTCAGTGAGTGAGTGAGTATGGTTTTACGTCTCTTTTAGCAATATTCCAGCAATATCACGGCGGGGACACCAGAAATGGGCTTCACACATTGTACCCATTTCGGGAATCGAACCCGGGTCTTCGGCGTGACGAGCGAACGCTTTAACCACTAGACTATCCGACCGCCCCTTACTGTTCAGTGTACTATACGCAGGTACCATCAACAAAATGACCGAACACGTCACAAACCGCACGCCATCACAGCTAAGAACCAGTTGATGAAGACTTCTTCAGAAAATATCAGTTACGATGGAAATATTGACAAATAATGAAACCAAGAAACTCACTGGTGAAGCACTTATATTAAGTCATTACATGGCACTAGTGAGACAGTTTAAAATTAGTCTGTGAGTTTGATTTAACGCTTCTTTGAACAGTATTCCAGTTATATCACGGCATGTCGTCTTGATATGGGAGGAAAGCCCGAAGTGTTGCAGGTCTCAGACGTTTACCACTTTGGTGAAACCAACACGCACGGGTCTGGTGCTGGCAAACCTAGTAACACATTCGGGGCGAACTGGGATTCGAACCCACAATCATTGTTCTGGCGTGCCCAACGGAAGCACATCTACACAGCGATTATCATTATCAGTATGAGTCTGGGATTCGAACCCGGGATTCTATGACTTAAGAAAGCAATTCTTTAAGGTGAATTGCGGCGACTGTAACGCCTACGCTACAAGCCCTCAATTCAATGATTAACCTATGCAATTTATCCAAACACAAGTCAGAATGTATTGCAATTGCTCTCAGAACCGGATAAACCAAGTGTATCTTTTAACTACTTCAGCGCTTTTGCACAGGCAATTCAATACCACCAAACGAAGATGCAGGGAATCGGTAGGGCAAATTACTTGACAAATCATAGTTTTTCGTTGTGTGTATATAACAGTGTAACTGGTAAAGATGACCCAGAACCTGTCCTTTATTCGTTCATGTTCAGTAGTTACTAAATCAAACGATAAAATGCAGTTCTTAGCGGTTTACAACGTTGACGAAACCACAAACAAGGGTAGGGTGCTGAGGACCATAGTAGGGGCGAATCCTGGATTCAAACCCATCCACGAGGATCCTTGCACGCCTAAGGGACATATGCACATATTCTTTGTTATTGTGTTTTGTCAGGTGAACAATTGACCTGCCTTTGCGACGTGTTTGTGTTTGTGACGGATGCCACCGGGGGGCAGGATACGTTCATCTTTTCGAGAACACCTGGTAACATCACTATCTAATAGTGGTTCGCAATCACAGGCTCATGATATAGTCATGATATAGAGTGAGTATGGTTTTACGCCGACTTGGTTGATGAATGTCATCGATCCTATGTGCGTAGATCGATGCTCATGATGTCAATCACCGGATTGTCCGTTCCTGACTTGATTATTTACAGACCGCCTTCAAATAGGTGAAATATTGCTGAGTGCGGCGTTAAACAACAAACAAACAAAAAGTTGTTGTACTGACTTGTCACAGTGAAAAAGCCTTGATCCTTTGACCAAATGATGGGTTGGTTAGTTTAGTTTTACGCCGCTTTTAGCAATATACCAGCAATATGACGACGGGGGACACCAGAAAAGGGCTTCACACATTGTACCCATGTCAGGAATCGAACCCGGGTCTTCGGCGGGACGAGCGAACGCTTTAACCACTCGGTTTCCCGACCGCCCATGCCCCTCTTTTGGCAGTGATTTCTTGTGGCTATGGAATAGGGTTTGTCGCTGGGTTTCCAGTTTCCAGTTTTAGCTGAGGTTGTGAGCTTTCTTGGGTTTGCAATCAGACCGAATGGAGTCAGTGACCTGACGAGACACGAGTATTTTTCTTCTTGAAAGGCTTCTTCTAACTATAACAAACTTAACAAGGATTGCCACTCTCTCGGAACAGCACTTATATAACAACGAAAAGCAAATGTGAAATCCATAGCTTAGTCTTACGTAAAAGTTTGTAAGATTTGTAAAATGGCGTATTGCATTCCGGGTGGTTTGAGCTTGGCAATGGAAACTCTAAACAAGGGAATCGAATTTAAAATGCAAAAATATAGTTATAAACTAAAAGTTCGCGACGATCGGTTGGGTCAATCGGGGTGAGAAATATTGTCCTTAATGTGGACAAATCACCAGCCCAGGGGCCCGTTCCACAAAGCAATCTTAGCGCTAAGGTGATCGTAACTCCCACTGGCTTACGGTCATCGTAAGATCAGTTTGTGGATCGGGGCCCAAGGCGCTTGCCTCAACGCACTACGCGTTTTACGATGTCTTTGTTTTCGACATTTTATTTGCAACAGTTTATCCTACTGCATGCCCAGCCATTCATCTGGATAGTAGTCCTCTTTAGTGTATTGTCGGTCAAGCCACGTCTTTTCTCGCGGGAAGTTTTTGAAATACACTACATCACCTCCAGCCAGCCACGCTCCCCACCACCCAAACGACCCGGATGTAACAATATTATGATCACAATGAGCCAAAATAGCCAAGTCCACCTCCCGACGCCCCTTCGTGAAAATGGTATCGTCCGACATGAGGTTGTCTTTGCACCACGTGACACTGTCTGAGCACACAATGAACAAAGGGTTCTCATACTTCTTCCGGAAGTAGTTCATTGACCTGTTAAGAAATCCGACGTCGGCAACGTTGTAGCCTCGGTCTCGTTCATATTTGGACGCCATGTCGCCTCGTCGAACATGGACCCCTATCGTTATTCGGGTCCAGTTAGCAAGAACGGGGGCTTCCTTCAGCATGTCCTTAATGACTTCGTCTTGGAACGTGAACTCCTCTCGTATTGTCTCCGAGATATTTCCGAAATATTTCCACGACTGGTAATAACCGACCAACGACCAGTTAACATTGTGAGACAGATGTTGTATACTTTGGTCATACATGCCAGGGCTTTTTTCTCTCTTGGCTTTTGTTTGTGTCTTTAAGTTTTTGGTTGCCGGAGCTTTGAGCTTAAATATTCGTCGTAAAAAGTGTGAGCTTGCTATTGTTGCTGTGTAACCATGGAAACTACTAATACCAACAAGAGAGGCATACTGGAACATTGCGTTACCAAGGCGACCACCTCCATGGATCGTCATGGTGTGCGTTTTCTTAAATATTTCTGAAGCGTTCCTACTCTCGTTACAGCTGAGAATTGATGCATTTTGCGAGACTTCAATGACTTCAGTTTTGGGTATCTGTGGGAGTGAACGTAGACTCTTAGTCACCAAATCTTTGAACACAGTCTGTCCTTTATGATGGCCCGACAGCATCTGTCCTCTTCTTCCATCTCTGTGTTTGACGTCACTTCCAGACATGACGTCACCGGACATTGACGCCATGTGGCTGTGCAGGAAGACCAGAAACCCGGAAGCGACGAGAGTCAGAAAGAATGCGGCTTTCCGCCGGCGTCGAAACGGACGCATCCCAAAAGGGCGCTAGACATGACCTCATCCCGAAACAGCCGGACCGGAAGTTAGCCTCGATGTCAGGGTACAACTGCGGACCTGTAATTTAGCCATGAGCCCTGCCTTTAACCTGAAATAACAATGAAAATACAGGAGTAAGACAATATTAACGAGTGCAAAAGTGAGCGTGGCTCACTAATACCCCCGACCCGCCTAGTGTGTCAGTAGTTACACATTAAACAGTTAGCATAGGGTTAGACTTAGGGTTTGAAAAATTCATTAAAAAAATGGAAAATTAATAAAACATATTTTTTTCTTTGGACTTCACACCTTCATATGACACAGATTATATGTACTAAGTTTGAGATGAATCCACTGAATAGTTTAAGAGAAATCGCGCGGACAAAGTTTTCGGACGGACGTTAGGGTTTGAAAAATTAATTTAAAAAATGGAAAATTAATAAAAACAATTTCTTTCTTTTGACTGCACCCCTTCATATGACACAGATTATATGTACTAAGTTTGAGATGAATCCCCTGAATAGTTTAAGAGAAATCGCGCGGACCAAGTTTTCGGACGGACGGACGGACGGAACCTTGGTATAATAATAATTACAATATAAGTTGATATTAATTAAAACATAATGTTTAGGTTATACCAGCTCTGTTGCACGCTTGGTTTGTTTGTTGTTTTACGCCGCACTCAGCAATATTCCAGCTATATGACGGCGGTCTCTAAATAATCGAGTCTGGACAAGACAATCCAGTGATTGATATCATGAACATCGATCCACGCAATTGGGATCGATGACTTACATCAACCACGTCAGCGAGCCAGACCACCCGACCCCGTTAGTCGCTTTTTACGACAAGCATAGTCGCCTTTTACGGATAGCATGGGTTGATGAAGACCTATTTTACCCCGGATCTTCACGGGTCTTCACAATGTCTGATTAACATGATACGTTCTGAGTCTCAGAAGGAATTGTGTAACATTTGGGTTGGTCAACGGAGCAACGCTTTTCACTGTGATAAGTCAGTACACTAACTTTTTTTTCTTTTTTTTGTTTAACGCCGCACTCAGCCATATTCCACCTATTTGAAGGCGGTCTGTAAATAATCAAGTCAGGAACGGACAATCCAGTGATTGACATCATGAGCATCGATCTAAGCACATGGGATACGATGACATGAGTCAACTAAGTCAGCGAGGTGGAATATAGCTGACTGCGGCGTAAAACGACAAGCAGCCAAACACACACATATGAATGCACGTCGCTATATACGTCTAATAATCTTTAACGCGACGTACAATCCCATTTCACCTGACCTCAAGGATATGGTATGAAACCTATTTAAGTAGTACATCAACAGAAGCACGTATTCGAGACAGCTGGGACGCTATGGGAATAACAGTGATGTGAGGTGAAATGGGGTTTAACGTCGTGTCCAAGATCATTGCACTTATAAAGCGACGTGCATGTACGTGTGTGTGTCTGTGTGGCTGCTTGCACTAGTCCAGACTGATGCCGATTTATAGTGCTAGCTCACCGAGATACCATGCGGCAGTTTAACATGAATACCCTACTCAGACACAGTATACTGACTCCGAGCCGACCAGTCCTTGTTTGAGCCCCTTAATGCCGAGCGCCAGACAGGGTAACAACAAGTACAAACTGTTAACGTATTTTGGTATGACGCGGCCGGGGATCGAACCCCGGACCTTCCGCTCTCCGGGCGGACAGTCTACCACTAGACCACGGAGGCGGTCGGGAATAACAGTGAGCATTTGATCAGTTGATACAATACAAACCGCAATATATTCACAACTCTTCACATATCGATTGTCAGACGCAGCTTCATTATCTTCAATCAACCAAATACTCTGTAACCCAGTACCAACCGCATTGCGACACAGTACATTCATCAAAAATCGAGTTTTTAAGCTAAATATTTTCTTCAGCTCCCGTGATAATTTTCTTTGTTGGAGATTTCAGCAGGGACTAATAGAGCCCACTCATCGGGACTTCCTCGCTAGTTGCTGCCATCTGTCAGACTCTAACTCCTTGCCGACAGCAAGAGGGGGGAATTAATCACACATTTAGATGCAAATAACTCGGATAAAGCGACTTATGAAATATTCATCCCAAGGTCCTAACCCACCAAACCTAATGGGCACTGGAGAACTGGCCCGAGGCTGTGATGGTACTTTCGCGACAACTGATGCAAATTCCTACAAGGTCGTAAACCTGTGTCCGGTTGTGGGCAATTGCGCAATTGTGTATTGATTTTTCGAAACATGTGATAGGAAGAAGTTTATTTGTAAAGACTTTATATTAGATGGAGAGGCAAACAAAACAAGATGAAAGTGAATCTTAACGAAATATGCATGGCTTGAGTTCCTGGGGAAATAAATGTCCTCCTTCCCGCCAATCAGAAATAGAAAATAAATGTTTTAAAATAACAAGGCCGGGGACGTTTTAAACATGCGCCATAACAATGGCAGGGCAGGGTGTGCTAGAAGGAACTGATAGGTGATAGGTTTTACCCAGGAACTAAACTGCAGGGAAAAGGAAAGTTTTTGGGGGGTTTGGGTTTGTCGTTTAACGCCGGACTCAGCAATATTCCAACTATATGACGGCGGTCTGTTAATAATCGAGTCTGGACCAGACAATCCAGTGATAAATATCATGAGCATCGACCCACGCAATTGGGATACGATGACGTGCATCAACCAAGTCAGCGAGCCTGACCACCCGATCCCGTTAGTCGCCTTTTACCACAACCATAGTCGCCTTTTACAGCAAGCATTGGTTGCTGAAGACCTATTCTACCCCGGACCTTCGCGGGATGTAATGAAACAAACAAGAATGTGTTAGTCGGTCGTGATGTATTAGATACGGGTAAAGGTCTTCAGCAACCCATGCTTGCTCATAGATCCCAATTGCATGGATGGATGTGCATGACGTCAATCACTGGACTGTCTGGTCCAGACACGATTATTTACAGGCCGCCGTCATATTGCTGGGTGCGGCGTTAAACAACAAACAAGCGAACAAACAAAATATACGCCGGGTATCATCTCTGTATTGACCTTAACTTTGCGACTGTTATGAGCTCAGTCAAGTTTTGATCACGTTAGTAATTGTTTGGTCAAATCCAATTTTCAAGTGGATATTTTCTTTTTCTCCAAAAGAATTGAAGCCAGTTGGGACATTTCGAATTAAATGTTTGCACCGAATCAACAATTTTGCAGCTTTACTACGGGGGCCTTACATGATCCGAGTCTGGACAGGGCAGACCAGTGGTCGATATCACGAGCACCCCCCTCGTCATCGGAACACGGCGAGTCGGCCATGTTACCCCACTTTCCTACCCGATCCCGACTTATACGATTAGAATGGGACAAGCTGATCAAATCTGTTTCGCGAACACCTGGTGTCATCACTGAATTTACCCTTTATCCCCACAGTAATCTTTTTCGGTGGATAATTGAGACAAGTTATACTATGGAGTTGTCGTTTTACATTCAATCTTCTTCAGAGTCGGGTCGCCTCCGTGGTCAAGTAGATGGAGCGTCTGCCCGGAGTGTTTGTTTGTTTGTTTGTTGTTTAACGCCGCACTCAGCAATATTCCAGCTAAATGACGGCGGTCTGTAAATAATCGAGTCTGGACCACACAATCCAGTGATTGACATCATGAGCATCGATCCACGCAATTGGGATCGATGACATGTATCAACCAAGTCAGCGAGCCTGACCACCTGATCCCGTTAGTCGCCTTTAACGACAAGCATAGACACCTTTTATGGCAAGAATTGGTTGCTGAAGACCTATTCTATCCCGGAATCTTCACGGGTCAGTGCAAAAGGACGATGGTTCGATCCACGGTCGCGAAAATGTGAAAGACGTTAAAAAAAATGGTTACCCTGCCTGCCGACCGGCATTTAGGGGATACAACATGAACAGGTCGGCTCGGAGTATAATGCGCATCGCATCTCTGTGGGAAGAACCGTTAAGCACATGCATCCACACACTCAGGTCAGTGCATGAATGGCGCCATATAAAAGTAAGAATCTTGAACGTGACGTAAAATGGCATTTCACCTCACGTCCCAATCTTAAGATTCGTTATCAACCAGCGTCTGGATGGCAAAAAAATGTGTTTTTGCTCAACATGTTTGAATTTAAAGTGAAGGGAAACGCGATTCGTTGACACGTGATTTTGAATTGGTTTCTTCAATACGTTACCAAGACGTTAGTTTTAATCAATACCTGAAATAAATAAAACAACTGAGTTGATCCCTTTCCGCTGTGTCTAGGTAGGATGCTGACAAACCAATAAGCACAATCAACGCCAATCTTCTTCACAGGGGTTTGGTGCGCCCCAAGGGACGCAACTCTGCAGATACTTGCGGTGACCTCGACAATTGGGTCGACGTTTAGGATCAAGTATGTGTGAGAAACAAATTAACTCGTTTACTAGGCATGCAAACACGTGGGCGCAAATAGGCCTCCCTAGGGTTTTAATCCATACTACTGCTAAAAACACTATTTTTGTTCCCATGCTGTCCCGTGGACAATACTTTGGAATAATCACTTAAAATGTTTTTTCTTAATTTAATTTTATAGTTGTGGTAAGGTAATGAGTAGGTTATGGAATGAAAGAGATGGACAAATGCCCCTCCTGCCTCAAGAAACAACCCCTCCCCACCCCCACAGGCCTGATTTTACATGTTTGAAGCCTAACTGTACACTGTATTTTTAACATATGTTTCTTTTACCTCTACTAAGAATCTTGCAAATCTATTGGTAAATCGACGAAACAATAAAATTCAATGTGCGCCCCGAAATCATGTGACTGACACTAACCTCGAATATTGATTCGTCACATGATCAGTATTGACCTGTCACGTGATGAATATTGACTCGTCTTCAAGAAAATCAGGTGGCGTCTGTTACGAACATTCCACGGTTACCGTTATGAAACAGAAAGACTTCATAAAATTTAAAGTGAATTTTGTTGCAACGAAACGACGATTACTCTTGACGAGGTCCTATGCAAAAAACAAGCACGCTCCGACCCGACCCCTTCGGCGGTCGGACCATTTGAGGGGCGGGTCCTTCGGGAT